ATAAGACGATGATGTTAAATCAGTGAAACTCACCCTGTCTATGTCTTCTGCGTTCTAGAATTGGTTTTACAAAAATATTGTTTGTTGTACAAGTTAGAAAACATGATAACAGTGATATGAGAATTTACCACTAAAACGACAAGAACAACAGTAAAACAAACACACACTCATTTGATCATTGAACGTTAATCGATTCAACAGAGAATTCGAGAAACCAAAATAACTAGAAAAACATGACATTGATAACCATTCAAAGTGAACAATCAGTAGTCTTGTGGTGCGCGTTACTTATAAGTAGTATATGACGCGAGTGTAAACGTAATGTCTGGCAGTAGAAGATGGGGGAAGATCAAGAAGAAAGGAAGAGTGGGAACACAATAGAATTGGTATGAAACGCATGAATAGTAGTGAAATGTCAGACAATGGATTGATGATGGATTGAAGGTTTGCAAATTAACCGTTTACGATATAGTTTTCCTATTTTACTGAGTAACTCTGTAATTTTCTTTAAATACAATTCGGTTGTCCTCACCTATGTTCTCCTTCACTACAGTATTAGTATTATTATCTCATTTGAACAAACTGCCAGTTCAGTTGTAACCCAAACAAATTGATGACAGTATTGTGAATTGAATATAATATCATACTACTTCACGGGATAACAAATGTTCATCCTGTAACTCTAAGAATCAGTTAAACGATGATTCTAGAGGAAGAAGTATATTTTAATGTTAGCCTCGTGATATCAAAATAATATCAAGGCCAGATGGCGTACAAACTGTGAGCGTCCACGCAGGAGTCGCGCGAAGTGACGCTTGGCGCACGAGAGATAGTCTTTAATACAATTGAACAAGAGGTGTACAATATAACAATTATTGTCAGACTTAGGTACAATAATAAATGTTTATATTTCAACAATTGTGTTTTCTTCGCAAAAGTATACCACTACAGTAGCATATAATGTAGGCTGGTTTATATAGTGAACATAGATTATCATTTCCCTGATAAAAATTAGGATATCATTCCAACAAACATGAATTGTCAATCAAGAGAGTTTCCTGCTAATAATAATCTTCAACTATCTAACTAACTAACTAACAAGAATATTTATGTATGCCAAAAACTTGGATTTATCTGTTTATTAATTAAGGAATTTGAATTTGAACTTACACAAGAGCATATGTAACAGGTGTCAAGGAAATCAACTAGCCGAGTTGATGGAAGTTGCTAGAGAAATAATTCAAGATTTATTTATTACTAGAGTATACGTATATTTTCAGTTTGGTTAACAGTTTCACACACATGAACACATGTTAAATCTTCTTTTCTGATAAAATATTTAAACACCGAATACATTTGAAGTGATTTAATAGTAGTAGTTATCAGACTGAAACAGTCTGGTGTAACATTGTGTAAGTTTCATTCAAACTAACTGATTTTGATAAATTGAACAAGTGTGATAACTCATTCATTCATTTTCACATTCAAATGGAAATATAATAGTCGGTTGTATGTGTTTTGAAATGACTGATCAGTAAATGCTGAATACATCATGTGTACTGTGAACGCAATGATATCATTTTGTATGCACAGTTGGATTTCGACTTCCAACTTTTCAACAACACTTCTAGACGAGTTTAGTAGAGAGAAGACACGTGAATGGTACTTCATATGAAGAAGGTTCAAGTGATATACATTAACATTTACACAATTCACCTACTATGGATCATCTCAATTCTAATGTTCATTGAACGGATAAATTAACTGCGAATCAGTCAAACGTACTCATAACTTCAGAATTATCATCAGTCGAACAGAATCAAAGCAGATAGAATGATTCAATGAGTCAATTGATTAACAATGAAACATTCGTTTGAATAAACAGCTCTTATAAAATTCAATTATCAATAAACATTTTGCTCACATATTCATTTCCTGAAAATAGTCGTAAATAATGAATAACACAATACTGACTATACATTTAAATCGACTGTCAGAATATATCAAGTTGCTCTCTAGACTATAACAAACGAAATGATTAACGTTCTGACTTTATTCGGACAATTACGTCGAAGCTGTATTCTCAAATGCTCTGACATTCAAGTCTCATGTTCAACATCTCATCTCTGCATCAGTGAATTACAATATTCATAGAAAAGACATCAAACTAATTTTAGTGAGTTAACGACAAATTATGTTAAACTGTACATCCATCATAAGTTATCTCCTCAAATATTAACACTCACCTTGTGTATTAGGAATTACACTAATCAAACTGACAAATACTGATATCAACAGTACACTATTCATTGTGTATGTGTACACTGAATAGATTAGAAATGTGCATCAATACAGAAATTTCTACTGTTTATATAGTCAGTCGAATTGCCTAGATAGATAGATGTATATGGTCATAAATAGTAGACAATTGACATTCCATTTCTATTCAATGTCTAAAGTTCATTGTAAAATTGGATATTGAATGATTTTTTAAAAAAAAAATTTTTTCCACATTTTTTGAATATATATTTACGCCGTCTAATATCACACTTTCTTTCTGGCTGGCCTCGAATACATTTTTAAAGATAAATTGTGTAAGTGTGTACAGATTTGATTAATTAGTTTTAAACAAAAAACTCTCAGTCATATTGTTGTTTTCTGTGGAATGTAGACAAACATTGATAAATTTTACTGTCTAAATGTGTGAAAAAAACACTATCTACAGACATTTGAATTATTGTACATATATTTCAAAAATGATAATAAGCAGGAAATTGTTAGATCTACTTAGTAGTTACGCCGTCAATAGAATTAATGACCTAATTTATAGTTTGATTCAATTTTCCGAGTAGCAAAGTTAAATGAAAGTAAGATGCGGAGCAGAATAGAAACAACTTTACTATCTTTATACCTTTTACATGAGAAGCTTCTAGAGTGTTCTCCAACTATTGACTAGCGCTGATCGGATGAAAAATTAGCCAAATGGCGTGCAGCAACGCAAATCATGCTTTAATCCAATCTATGTCCCACTAACAGAAATGTTGACATCTTCATAATCCAGTCGATTACCAGGCGTATAAAATAGAAATGGTGAGCGTGTAATCAACCTTGTCTGCACATCGGTCTTCACTTGGAATCGATCCTTAAACTATCTATCCTTCATACAACCTTTTACAGTTTAATCGATCGTAATAATTTCGTATATTATTGACTATCTGCTCACATTTAAAGATGAATAACCAATAACGGCGAAGCATTTTCCGGGTGAGTAATGTAATCTCAAAGTCAAGTGATCAGCCCATTCTCGAATCAGGCTCTCTATTGAATGGGTTCCTCAACAGAAACACTGAACGATCTTTGTTTTCAAATATAGGACTCTTTATTAGTGGGAGTAGGAATAAACGACCTCCGTTCAAGGCGATATAACACAAACACCTTCGGTCTAGCGTACGGAGGTTTAAGCTCTGAGACGGCCGACGTCCACTGGTGTTCAGTAATCCACTAAACAATGTGGCAGGCAATCATCATACTGACGAACAGCTGCAAGTGGTATCCAACATGATGATAACATCAAATCAGTAGAAAGGTTATGAAACTTGAGTTCGTTAAAATCGACTTGTTGTGGTTCATATTTTCGTGTTTATATTTTATTAGCTTAAATTGTTGTATTGCCTCGACATATGTTACAGTTCGCTTACATTTAATTTGGTTAAGCCCTTTCGATTAATTTATTTAACCAAGCCAATTTGTATTGTTACAATTTATATGTACCATTCGTTCTTATTATTGTCTGGTTTGTATGAGGAGCTCTAATGACGTGTCCCACTTGTCATTTGACCTTGTCAAATTGTAACTGCATTGGGATGAAGATTTCAGAAACGATTTACCTTCTTATGTATTGCACTAGTGTAGCTGCGCCACAAATTTAAACTGTATTGTTCGAGTTGTAGTGTTAATGATTGGGATAGTGTCTGGTTCTCCCAAATGTAAATTTATCGAATTAAAAAAGCCGCCGAATGTTTTGATGTGAGGAAATTTCCCTCTTCTTCTCAAAACGTTCTCAAATCTCATTGAAATCATGAAATAATCAATGTTAGAACACTATACGAAACCTGAAAGCAATAGACGATCGTTTTGTCCAAGACTCGCCAACGGTGAGTACTCATGACCCTGTAAGTGGGAACTGGACCCGGTGACATGGACAACAGGGTTTAATTTCTATTGTATAGGTGGTAGTTATCGACTGCACGCACTGACTGAATATTTTGCAACATCACGGATTGATTTCAGTTAGACGATGACATCGTTGGATTCCATCAGCTAAATATTCTTGAGCTAAACCAAAAGTGTTGAATTGGATTCCCATTTGCGGCCGTTGTAAATGAAACACTGATGATGAATAAAACGGTCGTCTATTATACATTCAGATTCCCGTTAATGGTTGAACATTGATAATACGTTGATTATTTCATCTAAATCGAAGAATATAAGGTGTTTGAAATGTTAAAATGCTATTAATAGTCGGGCTTACCTATCGTAATGACCAAGCCCAACAAAGCTTTCTTGACTGGAACTCATTTTCCTGTAGATTCTACCATGTTGAGCCTGTCGATTGGAGATCAATGAGACTAAAATCCAGCAACTCAATGTTTGAGGACAAAGTCGTACTGAAGACTGTAGAGAAGGAGTGTGGCATCAGTAGCGTGCCTCTGCATGGATGCTGCCTTCTCACAAGGGAAGAAGGTGTAAGAAAGAGTCGAACCTTAAAATATCACACCTCACCTTACCCCATGGAATTTTACTACTACTAATATTATTATTGATGAGTCCACAAACAGGACGAAATCGTCTTCCTATAAATTTTTATGATTTTTCCCTAATTGAATTATCAATAATATTATTATTGTTCTCTCTTGTTATTGTTGCTGTTGTCGTTTTCGGAAAATTCTTCATCAGAAACTCTACTCAGTCATACACTACGTAAACAATTATCTACTTCAATGATTGAAATCCCCTATACAAATTCATGTCGAAAATTTGAGAAACGATTGAATAATCAACGATTCTCTATGACTAGTAGCATTAGTAGTAATAGTTTACATCGATTCGATCATCATCAACCACAGTACATCACCAATCATTCACAAAAGCATTCATCACTGTATCCTTTTTCACAATCAGCACATCCCCAGTATCATTCCAATCGACGTAACATGCGCTTGTCAATGCTACCAACCTCATCATCATTGTTCAATTCAGATAATTATTATTTTAATTCCAAACAGAATCGTCATCGACGTTTAGCGGTAGAACAAGAAGAAGAAGGAGAAGAAGAAGAACACCACCACCGACAAAAACTGAACGACATCAACGATGACGACGGCGGTGATGATGATGAAGATGACGACGATGAGGATGAGGATGACGATGATGAATATTATCTAATTGATAATATTCCATTGATTGGTAGTACTTCATTGCACAGTGATGATTCAACTTTACTTCTATCACATCCATCTTGTTATTATGAAGAATCACTGATCAAAAATAGTACTGCTAATAATAATAATAGTAATAATGTTTTGTGTGCTGAGAATAATTCATATTTTCAAAAGTTTCCGCCATCCACATCATCATCATCATCACTACAGTCTAATAAACGAATGCCTTTGTCGGAAATTCAATCTATTCAAAAATGATTGTCAATATGCGTCAGTGTCAGATGAACACTATTTGATCAAGTGAGATTTTTTTTCTTGTTAGTGAATAGTTTTTTTTCAATTAGAGGCATGGAGATGAGTGTTTTCTTTCGCATATTTGAAATCATCAATCAATCTGTGACTGTTAGACCACCATTAAAATCCTGGAAGCACTGAAAGGCGGCCATTTTGTCCTGGTATGGGACTCATCAGTGGCAGCGCGCATCATCGACTCATGCACCTGGCAGGATTCGAACCCGGGAACTTCGATATCGTGCACGAACACCTAAACATCGGACCAATGGACCGGTATCCAACAGTGTTAATGTCTAAATCTGATTGATTTAGGGATTTTGCGCGACCTCATCCATTTGTCTTTGGTTGTTACTGCCTACACCAGACAGGGTTGATCTCCATTGGTCACGTCTTCAAAACTAGAACTCCGAGAATTCCATTCAAGAAGCTAATCACTAGTGTGCACATTTTACGATATTTTTAATGAGAGTTATGGAGATTAGTGTTTTTACCATTGTTGTTGGTAGTTTATCATACTGTGTGCGATTTCCACATGCTGGTGGTCATGGATGCATGCTGCCACTGATGAGTTCTGTGCTTGAAAGAAACAGCCGTTCGGTGCCTCCAGGTTTCGAATGATGACCTAACAATGATAATTTACTTACCGAATTACTTACACCTGTTACTACTAATGCAGCATAGGCAAAGGACCATTATTCTCCAACTTACTCTGTCCTTGTGGGTCTTCTTTCCCAGTTTCACCAAGTTGCTATTCGTTCCTTCGATGCATTCTACTTCAAGTTCTCAGAGCGCACAATATTGTCCTTGTTCTGTATACCTCTTCTCCTTTTGGACTTGAGGATTGCAAATGAAACTTCGCCTTGTGAGAGTCTCAGTATATGTTCGAAGCACCGAATCTCTCATACTGATAATGAAGAATACTCGACTGAAATAATGGCATACATCTGTGGTTTCTTCAACCTTAATAAAAATCAGTTGATAAACGTTTGACAGAAAGAGATTAGTCGTCGATGAAATTAGCGCTTCATGAAATCTCACTATTTTATACAAAGCAATAATCCAGGCATAAATTATACATAAGCTATCGTACAAATAAGTTAAATTAGAATCTTCCTAATATATTTATATCTACATTGAATTAGTTGTTCAAAGATGTTTTTTATCGCCTCTTATATGCATCGATGTTTAGTGGTGTCACCTATGACGCAGGCGGGTTATCCGTTTGTGGACTAAAGGACGAATGTACTGCGCAGTAGTTTGCTCCGCCCTACAACATGGCTGTGAAACATGGCCAGTCAGAGCAGAAAATATTATTAGGTTGCTGTTTTTTGATCACAGGTGTCTCCGAAGCATTATCGTCGGAAAACCAAGTATTCATGGCTGCAGTTAGGAAACGTTTACTAGATAAGGAATGCAAATCAACAGATGAAGTGTTGAAACTTCATCAGTTGAGGTGGTTGGGACATGTTATGAATGCCCAACCACCGACTGCCTTGTCGAGCTATGTTTTGTGATGTAGGAAAAGGTTGGAAGAAGGCTAGGGGTGGCCATACTAAAACATGGCATAAATCCATGAAGTCACTGACAAGTGCACTGAGTAATGTTGCAAAACGTAGGCTACTTGGTTGGTTCCAGCGAGATGATAATAATCGATGGTTAGAGACCCTGAATGATGTAGCTCAAAACCGTTTGCAAAGAAATAGCTGCATCCATTCTTTGTGTTCTCTCAAATCCTAAACTTCTGAATTCTTCATCGCCTTTACCTTTTTCTTTTTAAGTTCATTTCATTAGATTCACACTTTTTGAATAGTATCCGCAAACTCCAATCTCTCCGAATACTGCTAATACATTTACTAACTACCTTTACTACAATTGGATTTGAATTGACAATTGAATCTCTGCGTGCTAATGTGGTATGGCAATATGAACTGATGCACGTACGTACGTAGTTCAACGTTGTTCTTGTTGACTGATGATTGAATTGTGTATATCTTTTGTGTTAATTCCTACATACTTATGTCTCATTTTAGAAGCAAATCCTTCATCCTCCTCCTCCTCATCGCCATTATCGTCTGGACCCTTCCACTGATTTCAACCCTAATTGTTCTCCTCGATAAAATCTTCTTCGTTTATGCCACTCTCATTATCAGTGTATCACCACTGGTGAAGGTGAAGATGTTGCCAAAAAATGTTGAAAGAATACTGACAAACGATAATGATTGATTCCTGTAATCTATCCAACTTCTATTAATTATTCAGATGACAGAAATAAACATACTGACATATATATATATATATATATATACTTTAGTCTTGCGCCATGTGTAAAGAGTTCTTATCGACTTTCTTCATTCATTGTTTAACAATGTTCACCATGATCAACATTATTATTTTTTTAATTATCCTGTTTGACTACTACTACTACTACTATGAGTAGTATAACTTTATGCAATTCATTTATTCTAATGCTGTAATCATTTTCTGCGTCTGTGTACTTGATTTTTTCTCTGAAATCCTACTTCTCGATAATCTTTATTGATTTGATCAGTTTTATTATTTTTTTTCAAGTGATTTCTCTTTTGTTCATTTGATGCTTCTGTTTGTATTCATGGTTGATTACTGACAATAATAATAATAATATTAATCAGTGCTCGTTTACTGAACGTCTCGGTAGAGTCGGCTAATCGAGAGGGTGGAGACAACAAAACATGTAGGAGTACCAGTTGTTTATCCGTATAACCCAATAGTATTATGACGTCACCTCTCCTTCATCGTTAATAGATAGAAAGTTGATAAAGTCACTTCATCAGTCACTCACTTCCTTTAATATAGAACTTTCGACAAGCTTCATTTAGCAGATTGAGAACGTCTACCATCAGTCAGTAGATTATCACAAAGACAAAATATACAGTTGTTCAGAAGACAGTCAGTCAGTTACAATGCAGAACTTCGTACGTACTTACATCAGTTAAATTTGCCATACCTCATTAGCACAGAGACGTAACGGTCAGTTCAAATCACTTAGTGGTAGATATAGCAGAAGAATTATCGGCAATGGAGAAGATTAGGATCCAAAGTTATTGTTCAAGAAGTATAATTCAGTGCGGTAAATTTAGAAAGAGAAAGATAAGGGTGATGATGAATTTGGAAGATTAGAATTTGACAGAACACAAAGAGTGGATGCACCGGCGCTATTGAAAGTGGTTTTGAGTCATACAGTTCAAAGTCTCTAACCATCGGTCACTTTCGTCTCGCGGACCACAACCAGGTAGCCTACATCTTCAAACATGTCTCCGTTCACTTGTCTGTGATTTCATGGATTTCTGCCTGTTTTGGTCTGGCCACCCCTAGCTTTCTTCTAAACTATTCATACACCACAAAACCTAGATCGACGAGGCAGTCGGTGGTTAGGCAATCATAACATGTCCTAACCCCCTCAACTGATGGAGCTTCACTACTTCATCAATTGGTCTGCTGTCCCTACATAGTACTCGTTTTCTAAAAACATCATTACCTACTTGGCTGTCCCAGGATACACTAGCCATGCTTCGGTGTCACCTATGATCTCAGTCCATCAACCTGGAAATGTCGTCTAATCTTACCCGGCCATGTTTCGCATCCATATAGCAGAACGGAGCGAACTTATGCACAGTAATTGCTTACATATGGTACACAAATGCGTTAAGCATACTTACTTTCTCATGCTAACCCTCGTAGAGCATAGATTGAACTCCCAGCTCTGTCGGAGAACTGTTTCACTTACTTTAAATAGCGTTAAATCGAAATTGAAAACGTACAGCGTGAATTCAATTTATATTTCATCCAAAGCTCTTTTACAAGTATAACTTTAAGATATTTGATTAGAAAGAACTCATAACTAATTATTAAGTTTGCAAATAATTCAATCAAACGCTTGTGATAATAGATAATTTTAAGTTATAAGTAAGAGAATGGATAGTGGCTAGCAGTGGGATCTAAGATCCGCATCTTGCTCTATTTCGGCTTCATCAGCGGGATGCGCATGGATATCAGAGTTGATATTTTTCTCCATGACTCGAGCCTAGTTACTATTCACTGAAACCGCCAAACAGACTAATAATTTGTAGTTCTAAATATCGTTGGGAAGTGTCAAACGACCAATAAAAATGTATTACTCCTCGATCCGTTACACAAGCCAGTGGCCAGATGGACTCAGTACTTGGCTTGATAGCAGGGTGTCATTTGAAGTGAACAGTATTGAAAAAATAAAATTTGAGATGTAGTATGTAGAAGTGTGAAAAAGGATGGGACTCATAGTCTGCATTCCTCTGCTAGCCTCTATTCAACCCTCTTTGTATCGCTTGTGACCTGATGCGTGTGTCCATGCAATTCACTCAGGATGTACATATTGATGAAAGTTGATCAATCACAGTCCTAACAATCAAGAGAATCTATCAAGCATATTCTGTGTTTCAACCTCATACATGATCTTCAGAATTGAACAAAACTAATGGAGTTATGAAATATTATTCAAAAATCCTGTTCTCGAGTATCATTGGGAACTTTGTCCTTATGGTAGATCTCAGATTAATTTAGAACAGTATTCTCACCTTGAAAACGCAGTCGTTTCGAAGTGTGACCAGAATGGCTTGAAACCATTGTCGCACAAATTAAACCAAACACTTTCAGCAAACCTGTTCAATTCTGATACCCTCGAACCGTTCTTACACCTTAAAATGTCCATTTGAAAGTGGGTTACTGCAAATATGAAAACGGTCGAATTGCACGTCCAACTTCACCGGATCTCTGATCATGTCACTTAAAAACTACCACATGACCTTGATTAGGTTACAACTCTTTCTGCCTAATCACACTAAACATCCTTGTTGTAATGATATTTACATTGCTAATTATCGAAGCAATGAAATGATTTGTCAAATAGCAATGTTCATTATTCCATCACTCACCTTGTATGTTAGTTAGTT